TTCAGTTGGTGTGCAATGAATCTAAAATATATGAAAGTTTAATGTTTATCAGTAAATTACAGAAAATAATGAACTTTATCACAACATGCAAATTTTTTGAGAAGGACCTGTACTGGGTCTATCTGACATCTTCTCCCACCATCTGATCCAACTCATTACCAGATGGCAATCAGTTGACAGCTCAGCTCCTCTCTTCACCCAAGTGTACAAAGCATACRGCCACTAGGAATGCGCGATATAAATGATATACGGTAGAAACGATACAAATGTTGGCCTATAATAGAGATCTGTAGTCTACCGGCCAACCGCGGWAATTCTGTCTATGACTGTCTTTCAAAAAAGAATAACCTATAAAGCATAAACGAGATGACACAACTACAAAATCAATCATAGAGCTGTAACCCAGGGTGCACTTATGCACGTGCACCTTGTTTTTGTTTGTCCATACAAGTGTTTCAAATCGTTCTTTGTCTGGTCTGTCACCTAGGACCAATTTGACATGGGAGACCCTACCACAGGCAATTTCGATTGTCCCCAACAGCATAGATCCTAGGACCATTCAGGTGCACAAACTCCTCTACCACAATAAGGTGACGATTCAAAAGAGTATGTTTTTGTTTACAAGAAATTTGCCAGCACAAGAAGAACAGTCAAAATCTCAGAAGAACTCCATGCATTACAAGTATTAAAATAATCCTTATCCTACCTGGCCTACTCAAAAGTTTTAGCTGCTCTGAGGACAGTCAGTAAAATTTATTGTTTTATAGGAATAGTCTGTGAAACTGTCCCCTCTACTGTGTCCTTGGGAAAAGTGCCAGGAAGACTACCGTCTCTCTTAGCAAAAACTAAAAGAATCAAAGAGTAAAACACAGCAGAACGTCTATAAACAAACACATCTTTCTGCTGACTTAACAAAATGAATACAATATTTAGGACAGGTCTGAATGTTCTCCAAAATAAATTTAAATATTTAAATCATAATTCTGATTCTAAAATAGAAAATACATACTCCAAAACAAAATATGTGTTCTAATTAGATGTTTTTGCCATGTTATCTATCTCCTTCAACCCCTCCATAACCAGCTGAAAATAAACATCCACCCTGACAGGTGACAGCCACGCCTGTCCTGGTTGATTCTGACTGCACGTGATGTGTGCTGCAGTGGGAGGACTTACCAGGATCTCTCTCACTGGTTCTCTTTGTAAAAATAGACTGTGAGAAAAAGACTGTCTCAAATTATGAAAGCAATATCCACAGTCTCGCATCTTGTTCGAGTGTAGTGGACCCTAAGGAGATGGGTTCATCTTAAAACATCAGTCAGGAAGTTAAAGAACAACAAAGTCAAAGTTTTGGTGAGATCATAAAGCTCTGGGGTCAGATTTATAAASGATTGCGTGGAAACCAGTGGTGTCACTAGGCCTATTTTAGGAGGGCTGGAGCCCCACTAAAATATTTTAAAGCCCTTCTAAATTATTTTGGTGTAAAAAAATTATTTTTTTTTACAAAAATTCAATATGATATGGTCAGGATAAATAACCATTTAATTTTTCATTATTAACTAAAATATATGATCATAAATCAGTCAGTTTCCCTTTAATTTATAGTGTAAAGTAGAGATCCTCTTTGGTGCGTCGTTATTCAATCCATTCCACTTGTTCATAAAGTGTACTCCTCCACCACATGAAATCCAGTCCACGTTTTTCTGCAAACTTCATTATTCAATCTATTCCACTTGATTGAGTACTCCCACACCACATGAAATCCAGTCTACGTTTTTTTTTTTTTTGCAACCCTAATAGCAGCATGCTAGCAAGTTTACACAGAGAGCCCAGTGCAGCATGAAGGCTCAGTGAGCAGACCAGGGGTCTCATTTATAAAGGATTGCGTGGAAACCATACTAAAAGTGAACGTACGGCCAAAAGGCGGAAATGGCGTGCGCCAAAAAAATTTTCAGATTTATAAAACTGTGCGTACGCATGTTTCTGCGCATCTTTCCTTCATAAAAAAACAGCTGCATGTCAGAGTTTACGCACGAGGTCCCGCCTCAGGTTCTACCCTCTACACGCCCACATTCAACCATAAACAGTCAATGCAAAGTACCTCATGAATGTTAAGATGTATTTAAATCAGTCAGCTGATCAATGCCAACAAAAGTGATTGGTTCAGACACGCTCCGTTGTGCGTCTGGATGATGACAGGTGCTGACTGACAACTGCTCACATGAACAGAACGTCTGTAATTGACATATTTTCCCTCATTTTGCTTTAGAGT